GCACAGACATGTGCTCCAGACTGCATCAGTACAGGGCTGGATCCCCAGGAGCACCGGAGCTACAGAACGGTTGACGAAGGTCAAAACATCTGTAGGAAACCATGGCCCGAAATAGGCTGCGTGGGTGCTGCAGGAAGGGGAGCCTCAGGACGGAACAACACCCCGCTCTCCAGGCCAGAGCTCAGTGCTGGCAGCAGGAGAAGCCTTGGCACCTAGCACCAGCGATATACCGGGCGATCCAGCGAGCTCATCGGCCGTGCTGGTGCAGGAGCAAAGGGATCTCTCAGTGCCCTGTTTCCAACTGAGCCACCTCCCTGGGAACAAAAGCCGAGCAAGCCCCAAGGCGAGTACCCTCCCTGGCCACAGCCGTTCTGGTGCCCCACGGCATCTCCCCGGCCCCGAGGAAAGCCCCAGCTCTGCGGTGCAGCCACGGGCTCACACCAACCGAGCGTGCAGGCTGACGCTCTGTCAAGCTTTCCGCACGGGACGAAGCCCTGGGCACTCGTGGAAGGGGGCTCTGGGCTGCAGGGCAGAGCCACCTCCCGGGGACAGAAGCCCAGAGTCAAGCCCAGACGCAATCAAGCTCAGCAAGAGACTGCAACGCATCCCCTGGCAGGACAGATGGCAAATCAATGCACCAAGGCTACTTCTGGCCCCGAGACATGGCTGCAGCTGAAGAATGAGCAACACGTGCTAGAGAACAGGACCCCTTCACGTGTCAATTCTTGGGAGGAAAACAAGGAAGGAGCTGAAATAGAAGTGAATACCCCCGTCACAAGGCAGTAAATGGGGTCCCTTGGCTTTCTTCCAGCCTAGCTGCCAAAATAGCTTTCACTCCAGAGGGATCAGGCCCTGCTCCGAGGCTGTGGAGGTCCGCCGTGCCTCCAGACAGTGCAGCGGGTGGGAATCAGGGGTGAGGAGAAGGGCTGGGTACTCACTGTTCGTATTTGTGCAGCGTAGCCTGCAGGAGGCTCAGGGAATAGACCAGCCCGGCAGCAAAGCTCAGCTGCTCTCCCGCAGCACCCCTGAGGCCGGTGCGCTCCGCACAGTTCTCGTTCAGATCAAACTTCTCCTGAGCCTGTTTGCTGATCAGCTCAGCCTGCCAGGGACGAGGGAAAACCTTCAGAGTCCGACCCGTTCCGCTTAGCCACAGACCAGCCAAACGCCCCCCCAAAAGCAAGCTTTCCTGGGAAAGGTTTCCGCAGAGCAGAAGGGGAATAAGCGGGACAGGAGAGCACGACCCCCCCCCGGCAGCGCTGCCAGACACCGAGG